ATGTCTGTATGCGATTCTTGCATGTCACTCACCGTGTCAGTATGCGATTCTCACATGTCACTCACCGTGTTTGTATGCGATTCTGACATGTCACTCACCGTGTCTGTATGCGGTTCTCACATGTCACTCACCGTGTCTGTATGCTACTGTCACATGTTAATGACTCCTCAATGCTTACCTCTCGATGCTCGCTACATAACTTGCAAAGCAAAATGGCATCTCTCTGGCTATTCGTTGTATCCACACCGCATTTTGTACACACAGCCTAAGGAGGAAAATATAAACAATGAAGTGATAGGAACCTTATAAAGTAAAATCAATCTCAGCAGGAACAGTGTGACACCTCTGAACATCGTTGAGTTTTGAATATCCAAATACAAAAGTAGAATTTCAATTCAATCACACAAAATTTACAAGAATTTAAATCTATTTTGTTTCTACATTTTCTATAGTATTTTAATAGAATGTTTATAGCAAACACATATCTATAGATATTACATTTTATAGAAACATTTCTATAGAAATCTGCATTTACTGCAATTTTTAAATTTACACTTAATTCTGGTATGCTATTAAAAATAATATTCAATGGAAATCCTATTGAACATTTTCAAATATCCTCATACTTGTTTCAGTTTTAGAAAAAATACAGTATCTTCCAGTAGTGGTTAATCAATGAAATAATTACCTTTCCACAATCATGACATTCGAGCGGCGAGGCGCCTAATAGACCAAACTCGTCACCACATAGTACACACTGTGTATTGCCATTACCGAGAGCATTTTTACGCATATTATCTAACTTCTCAACCAGGCGTCTGAAAACAAGTACACTTAAGCATAAACATTTTGATGGAAATAAAATGTTTATAAAACGTTCATCCTAGAAGTCCATCATGTTATATTTCAATCCACTAAGACATTTTCATTGGCTAGAGAAACCTTCTAGATAATTTACCCATGAATCTTTGCATTTTTCAATCAATCAAGGCCAATTTATGAGGAACATCCAATTTATTTTACATGTAAATGCCTCAAATTGATTATTCTCAGATAAATACCGTATTTGTTCTTTTAGTAGCATATATGTAAATTACTGGTCGGCCAATCGTTGAAGGAAACCTGCAAAGACTTATGGGTAATTGGTATATATAGCCAATGAAAATGTATTCTTTCGATATGGATATCTTATAAATATTTTGAAGCAAACATTAATAAAAATACTTGAACACTGAAATCTTTTATATGGTGCCTAAATTTTGGATCAGTTGGCGTAATTGGGCTTTATGTAAGCAGATATGCTCACCATTGTCGATTTCAGAAAATGAATTTTCCTTGGGAAAAATGGCGGAAAAAATAGTGTACCCATTCTTTAGTGTAATCTACCATAAGTTGCAGAGATCACAAAGATTTACTAGTATTTAAAAGATCAGTGGTCAGAATAGTCAGCGCCATGTGATAGAATATCGACTGACTTGTACATAAATGCATTATGCATACACTCACATGGGAGTCTTAGAAGAACATGTGTGTATCACAATCGTAATTAAATAACATCATGAATATGTATGACACAACGGTGCTATAAGCCTAGCAACTAAATTATTCACCAGTAAGGAAAGTTCAACGATGAACACCATTATGATTATAATAATGATTGATTGGTTTTGGTTATGTTGTCAGGCGAGGCGAGGTAAGATAAAGTAATTACAAGTATGCAATATCGTTATATTAATTAAATAAATGTAATTAATGACCATAAGAGAAATACTTGCATTAAACCCTTATGTAGTTAGTGACCTACATCAATATTTACTGGATTAGGCTAAGGTATATGTGTATGTCTGTGACTCAAGTGAAAATGAATTCAATGTATTATGTTCTTAATGTAGTATTATCTAAATTGCCTACCAAAAATAACATCAATACTCATATCAAAAAATTATAAAACTCTAGCCAAAGAAAGTGAAACATTCATAAAATATCAATTTGAAAGTAATTGGATAGACCATTTTCAGAAGCCAAAAATCCAATTGATGATGATAAATATTACTCAAATATTCACCAGAAATGAAATCATCTTACAGTACACATGAAATACCAAAGCAATCTGAATAAAGGTTTTTAAGAAGAAGATGAAAATTAGTCATGACCAAAAGTATAAAATATTTATTTAGAATATGTATTAGAGAAAGATATTCAAGCATTTAAGTGTCTTATCCGATACATGAGCGCAAACCTCAAAATGTTCAAGTTGCTTGAAGAATGTGGGAAAAAAAAGTCATGGTAAAAGTTTGCATGCCAAGGGATTTACGTATCTAAATGATTTCCTCACACATATCAATGCCAAGATTAAATTAACTTATCAACTAACTGTATGGTGTTGTCATGGTAATAGGAGAACAAAGAAAGAATTATAAAATCTTTCAAATTACATGTACCGGTAACCTTAATTTCTAAAACATGTTCCTTTAAGAGAAATATTGTATAATTAAATGCAAATTTGAACAGAAGAGACGCAATATATATGTGGGAAAATACCATTTCTTAGCAGCTGTAATATGTCACAAAATAAGATCTATCCATCTTAGCGTGAATCATATCCTGTTTTAAAGTACACACGATGACGTACATTTGTTGGACTTATAAGCAGTGTTTTAAAGTACACAATATTTCATAGTATGTTTTCAAGTGCACAGAACACATACAATGTATGACATATACATACTTATATTGCCTCAATATTTTCAGTTTTGGCATGTCATATAGAATTGAAATTTAAGACACTCAAATTTTGTTGATCTAATTCATGACCATCTCTAGTGATACAAATTATGCAAGAAAACTAATGATCATTGGCTTAGAAATATACAAAGGTAGACAACAATGTGTAAATTACAGCTAGTCATTTCAATATAAATATTTTAATTCAAATGCAGTCATCCGAATTGCACACTGTTGAAATATAATTTGATTATACCTATATGTTAAAAATACTATACATATTACGCATACAAGGCCACCCAAACAGAAAAGAAAGTGAATTTGTATGCATCTAGAACTTAAGCTGCTTGTCAACTGCAGGCTGAATGAGACACTTACAATAAATGATGTTGAGAAAAGCAGGAAGCTGCATTTCGATTCATGAAACATTTCGATGGTGAGTTCTATGTGGGTGTGTTGAGTAGGTTACATCCCTGATTCTTAGTCTCAGTACAATACATGCACATATGGTCCCATATGGTAATAAATTCAATGGATTCAGTTAATATTGAGGCCTTGCATTTAATTTATGGTTTATAAATGGGACAATATATTAACTGTTAAATTTCAATATCCCAGACAATTCTTTTTTTTTAATGTATTTCAAAACTTATAATTTTAGAAGCCTTTTAAATAACTAGTATAGAACAATCAAGTTTGTATTGAATTGATATTTTGCAGTTCACTGTATTAAATTATGAAAAAAAAGAAATAACTTGTTGATTAATACAATTAATAATTTGGATTGAAGGTTAACATTCCCGGAAAATTTTTTAAATGGAAGAATAAAACTGACAGTTTTGTATTTTATCCTGATTTATTAACTGTATGCAGTTACATTGACTGCTAAATACGTAAGGGGATAACAGTCCATTGTGTTAATGTAATAAATCACTATTGTTCAATTCTCTATAGAATACTCACATTACAAAAAAACACTGCTGGAAATGGTAATATTATACAACTTTATTTTAACCCTTATAAAAATAAC